TTTTTTGGAGTTGGAGTCTCACACCTTTGCCCAGGCTGGGGTGCAGTGGCACGCACGCTCACGTTGACCTACTGGGCTCCAGCAATCCTTCCGCCTCAGCCTTCCGAGTAGCTGGAACTACAGACACGCGCTACTACGCCCGGCTATTTTTAATTTTATCGTAGAGATGAGGTCTCACCAAGTTGCCCGGGTGGGTCTCAAACCCGCCGGCTCAGGCAATCCACTTACCTCGGCCTCCCAAAGTACTGGGATTACAGACTGAACCACCGAGACCAGCCTAATATTTTCATAGAGCTAACTATACTTGTGTGCTGGTCATGGTATTATTTGCTCATTTAATCCTTACAACAACCCTAAAATGTAACAACTGTTATAGTTTCCATTTGATGCATGAGGAAAATGGAGAACAAAGAGATTATGTAACATGAGCACGCTGGTAGGTAGCAGAGCCAGGATTTGAACCCAGAGAGTCTTGCTGTGTAATCTATGTTCCAAATACCGCACATTCTCTTAGATGACATAACATCTGTGAAAAGAGTAGGATGCCACCAGAAAGAGAAAGAGAAGCAAAGAAAGAAAGGTTCTAAGAAGAAGAAAGACCTCTTAGAAATTAAAAAAAAAAATGAAAAAGAAACCACAATTAAAATACAATAGAAGGAAAACAGTATGGTGGTTCCTCAAAAAATTAAAAAGAGAATTATCAGATGATCTAGCAATTCCACTTCTGGGTATATATCCAAACAAATTTAAAGCAGGATCTTTTTTATCTTTTTACTTTATTAAAATACTGAGTTTATTTCACATGTATATTTTTGTCTCCCCACCATTTCCATGTCTGACCACCACTACTACTATGCCCTATCATAACATTACATACATATGTAAAACCAAGCAAAGGGTGGAGTTCCATTTTTAAAAACTAATCATGCTTTTGGACAACACATTCTTGGCAATGGAACCTGGACAACATTTATCAAACATGGTAGGGGAAGTTCTCTGCATTATAAAAAGAACAGCCAGATACTAACTGTTACAGAAATGAAATAAGATGGAAGATTTTAACAAACTGTTTAAACTATTTTTTTTTCTTTTTTCTTTTTTTTTGAGTTGGAGTCT